TATGCAATAATAGGGTTTCAAAGGCCTATTATTAAAGTTAACTTTTTTTATAATAAATTATTAATTTACTTAAGTCCCATGTGAGACTTTAAAAATTTTCATAAAGACTTAAATTAATCATATCATCGTGAGAGATTTTGAAATATACTTAAAATATAAGTTATATAATTACACATTAAAATATACTTAAAATATTTACACTATTTCACTCTTTTATAGTGAGAGATTTTGAAATCTTCGCAAATATTTAGAATAACTATATTATTGTATAACCTAATAAGGCTCTGCACGTATAGCAGTTAAATTTTTTTAAAAAAATAATAAAACATGAAAAGTAATTTTAAAACTCTTTTCTTTATTTCAAAAAATTTAAAAATTGAGAAAATGATTGAAATTAAATCACTTTTTGCAATTTAAAATACACATTTAAAAATTTCAGAAATTATTCTATTTGCAAAATGGTAAATTATTTTTAATTAATTTTTCTTTAAAAATATTTTCACCAACAACTTATAAGCCCAAACTACGTGGACTTTGATCCTCATCATAAGGTACGTAGGCCTTAGAGTCGGATTCTAAGTCAAGTCCTTCCTCGTAAATAAATAAATATTTCTTACTTAATTCTTATCATTTTATATCAAACACATGAATATAAAAGGGATAATTAACATAATTTTAAAATCATATTAATATAGCACAACAAACTTCAGGTAACCGTTCTGACAAACGGGTGTTGTGGGGTGCCTAACACCTTTCCTACACTCAACTAACTCTTGAATCTATTTTCTATTTTTGCAGACCTTCCTTATCCTCGTTTAAACGGTTTTCTAAGATTTTTCTCAAAATTTTGGTGACGACTCCCATTTCTTCAGTCTTCTTTTCAAAGGCCGGAACGTTCGCTTTCACGCCTTCCACATTGCATTTCCAAGTGCAACATTGGTACAATGACTTGGAAATATTTTTAAAAATCATCTCAAGTTATAACTAAATTCTTTTTATTCTAAAACTTGATAAAACATGCAATTCTAAACATAATGACAATCTCATTTATAAATGTCATTAACATTTACTTATAAATAGTTAAACTAATAAATAGACAGAATAAATAATCCAATTACCTCAACTCTTCTATACTCTAAAAAAGTTATTCATGGTGCTATTCAAACCCTTAACTTCCTTTTTGCTAAGCCAACATACAAATCACGTCACTCTACATAAGTTCGCATTATAAGTCAATTATCAAATTGACTAAAATTACTAATTACCAAAATTAACCACAAATAATCACCCAACTACTTTTAGTTAACCATCTTAGGTTCTTATCATCCTATTAAAGCTTCTTGTCACTTCTATCAACTCAACACACTTCTTACCAAACTTTCACCCCTTTTAATTTAATAAATTAGGCTAAATTAAGCTTATAGCATCAAAGGTTAACTGTTAACTTTCAAACTAATCACAAAACCTTAATTTAACACTGAAGAGTCTTTTTTTACAAAAGGATAAGAAAATAATCCCTTAAAATCCCTTGATTCAATTTCTTTATAATGCCAACTAAGAGAAATTAGTGTAAAACAAGAGCTTAAGGTGGTATGAAGTTTACCCAGCAAGCAACATGTTGTAAATATCTCACGAGGCTTCAAACATCCTTGCCCTAACAAACCATAAGCTCTTCTCCTCTCCATTATGCCTCTTTCTCTCCTTTCTTCTCTATTCTGTGAGCTGACTCACGTCTAACTCAAGCAAATTATGGGCCATGCACCATGTATGCCATAGCATGTGGCACAGTAAAGAAAATCTCACCATGTTCGCACACTTTACTCTGGACTATCATTCTTTGGCCTAAACCTATCCATTTAACAACCTAAGAAGACAAAAACCTCATTTCATCATCCAAAATCTTGATTATCTAATTAATCCACCAGATCAATAATTTACCCTTTAAGTATTAATTAGTTATCCGGTTAAGATTTCATGATATTACAACATCACTTCCCATACATGCATCACATCATGCCTACCTTTATTTTACAAATATATGACTTATTTTGGAGTAGAACCCATGACATTGAATCCACCTTTAGTGCCTACCTTTTTGCTAGCTAAGCTACAATGAATTTGATGTCTTAAATTAACAAAATTAAGTATATATTACTAAACTACACACTTTTATAAATTTTATATTATTTTGATTAAAAATTAATTTATAATAAACCATATTTTTAAATGGTTTTAATTTATTTGACCTCAAAAATAGTTTCAAAATTTTTTAATAATTTAATTGGTAATTTTATAGTATATTATTTAATTTAACTTGATTTAAAAATAATTTATAATATTATATTAATTTTTAAATATTTTTTAATTTATATAATTTTTTTAAAATTTTATATTTTTCAATTTTAATTTTTAAATATTTTAAAATTTTTTAAAAAATTATTTAATATGATTTATAATTATGTTTAAATTTTTATTTTTTTATGAAAAATACTTTTAGTGGTAACAACTTATCATCATTGATGGGAAATTTTGAAAAAAAAAAAAACTTTTTTACTCAATAAGTTGCCAAAATGTTTTTCTTACAAAAAAGGAAAACAAATTATCTATTAAGCCTATCAAAAATATGAACCAAAATAATATGCTTGCGTGTTAGTCTTGCAATCAATAAGACTACAACTTAATGTTGATTTTTTAGAGTTTCTTAATTTTGTATATTTTAAAACTAAATAAGTTATATTACATATATATATATATATATTCAATTATATAAATAACTTTATCAATTGGAAAAGTGAAATATAATGAAATTTAATTTTATAGATAATTTTTTAGAAAACTTTCTTATATGCTAGAGATGCCAGTGAATGTATAACAAATTAATATTGATATTATTATAGAAATCATAATCATATACCCACTTCATCAAAAAATATAAGGTATTTTTTTGAGGGGTTTGCTATTAAAAAAATGCAAGATATTTTTAGTATTTCAAGATAATTATTGTATTTTTTTTCTAAAAGTACTCTTATTGAATAATCACTTATATTTATTTTAAAGTGAAGCACCTTGCTATATAAGGATAAATATAAAAAGATAGTACTGGTTTGGAGACAAGTAATTAATTTATTAAAGGGTGAGATTCAATTCAAAATATCTTACATTTTTTAACGGATGGAGCATATAATATACATTCAATAACCCTCTTGTTTTGCAATCACTTTGTCACATTTTGGACCATTTCATTCAATAATTACATAATATGAGTATTGAGTCAGTGATAATAATAATAAAAGTAATATGCATTTTATAGTTTCTTTTGGAAAAATATGAGGGAAAATTGGAATTTTCTCATGATAAATTTTGACAGAAATTTTCTCTCAAAAAGATCTAAAAGAAATTTTAATTTTTTTTAGATTGTTCTAAGAGATAATTTTAAATAATTCAATAGATATTTTTGTCTCAGCTTGTTCTAAGAGAAATATTTCTCTAGGCTTAATCTAAAAGAAATTCTCTCCGATAGATTTGAAAGAAATTTTCTCCTTGAAAAAGTCAAGAGAATTTTTTTTTTGACTTAATTTAAAAAAAAAGTTATCTCGACTCTTTTTAAGAGAATATTTCTTTTAGTATTATCCGAAACAACTCATTGAATTTCTCTTAGATTTTTATGAAAGAAAGCTTCTCTCAGATAAATTCAAAAATAACTTAATGAGTTCTTATTTTCATTTTTGTCTCATTATCAATTTTTTTGTTGTTATCAAACATTTCTCATATATTAAACAAAGAGAAAATTTTCCCCCCATGAAGCGGGATCTTTCTCCCTAATTTTCTCATATCATCCTTTTGGAATTGTTCTCTATTTTTGTGAGAAATTTCATGATTAATTTTTTACAAGAGGAATTTTCAGAAAACTTTTTTCCAATAATTTTTTGAGAGAAAATTCTGTAAGAAAATTACTGTTTTTTTTTTTAGTGATATAGAATGTAATGTTGATGGGGCTGTTGAAAGATTAACATCAATTGCAGCTTGTGGGTGAGGTACTTCGAAATGAAGATGGATCTTGGATTTGGTTGTTTCCACAAATTTATTGGATGCTTCACTCCTTTACAGGCTCTACAATGAAGGCAATCCTGTTAACAAGTATCCTTTTTATTATAAACGATTTTATTTGAGATATAGTCAAGCACTGACTAACTCTTTTTACTAAATTCAATCCTCATTAATGATATATATATATATATATATATATTTTGGATACAATTGGAAGATATGTTTTACCTTTATTCATCGATCGAGAGGGAAAGATTGTTGCTGACAAAATTGCCAAAATGGGCCTTAAGTACTTTCCTTGATACAGTCCCAGACACTTTGAGAACTATAGTACTAAATTCTTCCCAGACACTTTGAGAACTGCTTTGGGGGATTCCTATTGTAATTTGTAGTTTCCTTTGGGCCTAGACCTCCTTGTTAACAACAACCAAAAAAAAAAACATGAAGGAGGGAACGGTTGTTTCAATATAAGCTGGAGTCTGAATTATTTAGATCATGTTTAGGTTGAAGACCGAAAAGCTGAGGATTAAAGGACTTAATAGCATTACCCAGTAATGCTATAAGTACTTATAACATTAAAGTGCTTATTACAAATTTTTCAAAAATTTGGTTAATGATAAAATATAATGATATTTTTTAATTTATGTAATAGATCTCACCTAATGAGATAGGATTTATTATTATTTTTGTAACATTACCCAGTAACCATCCTAAAATGGATGGGCAATCCAAAGCTTTAAATAGATGATTAGATATGGAAGTACTTACTCTGTTTTGTCTCAACTTCTATGGCTTTCACTTTCTTAGTATTAGCCGCGCCAGCTTCCATTATATCGAATGTGGACAATACCACATATTAACATACTGTTATATAAACATTCAATAATTCTAAGATTTGACTCTTATATATAATACAAGAGTTTAAAAAACTAAAAAAAAATAAAAAACATGAAAATAAAACAATGATATCACTCTAATACAAACCTTTCAAGTTTCAATCATGAAATGATCCTGATTGCATCACATGCCGTTGATACTCATTGATAAAAATCTGTGTTCTGATAATTGATGGATTAGTCATCTTCATACAGCATTAAATAATAACCAAAATAATGATATATGATAAATATATATTACATTATCATTGCTCAACAGAAAAGGACACCCACCCTTCAACTGCTTCACTCGTCTCCACAACCACCACATTATCTGACACATTGGTCACACAATGTGCCACAAATTTAGGTTCTTGAGCATAAAATGAATACTGAAAATGGCTAATCCGATTAGGAAATACCAACACACTTGAAAAATCAGCCATCCATTTTGTCCCATTTCCTCCAACTGTTAACCTCCCAACCGTTGATCTCAACCCCATTCCATTAACATTGTTCTGATCAATCACCACTTGATCAATCTCACCAAATTGCCCATCTAAATTCACAATTGGAACCTTCTTATTCGGGTCGCCACTAAACATATTATTAACTATGTTTAACCCTAAGACTTGTCCTTTAATTGACTTCAACACAATATTGGCATCACCTAAGAATAACCCATTAGTGACATGAACTTGAACGGGGTCTTCCATGACTATACCTGTATAATCCAAGTAACAATTATCAATTCTGGTTTGTGAATTTCCTGCCAGTTTTACCAATATGCCTATGCCACCAAAGGATGTTGCTTTGTTATAGCAATGCACTCCAGTGATTATGTTAGCTTGACCTCTTACCACAATCCCAATGGCTGCTGAGAAAATTGCAACATCTGTGATAGCATTGTCATTGCTAGCAAGATCAATGGCGGTTCCTGAATAATCTTTCTCACCTATATCTCCACCTACTGTGGAGTGTTGCCCAAGAAAGCAACTTGAGATGAAGGTTTCATGTCCGCGTTGGACTAGAATCCCTTCTGTGGTGAAGTGGAGGAAGAAACAGTTGTTAATTCGGATTCTCGCAGAATCAACTATCAGAATCCCGCCACCTCGGTAGCCCGAGTCGAAAAGGATGTCTCGGAAGGTTATGTCTTCATAGTGAATTACATCACTTTGAGCTTTCATGTCAAAGAAACCATCAGTATGCAAGGGTTCCACTGGGTTATCAAGTTTTGAAGAGTTTGATGAGGATAACTCAACCAGATGCCTGTCACTTGGAAAAGTATCACTTGCTCTCAAGCTCCCACCTTTTACCTAATCAACCATATATATACGTGTTATTCGCTACTTTAATTGTAGGTAGATCCATTTAAATCAGAAATTTTACCCTTAAATTACAGATTCAGGAACGTTTAAGACCCTAAATTTTTTTGTAGTATAATATTTCCTTTCAATTTTAAAAACAGCGCAATGTCACCCCTATTACCAACAGAAGTTAATTTTAATTATTAATTGACAGCAAAATTTCAGAAAATGATCTCAGAAATCATAGAAAATAACCAAAAAATTACAAAAAGGACCCAAAATTACAAACAGAAACCCCAAAAAAATATAAAAAATGATCAAGAAAATATTTTGAAATCATTTTCTCTATTTTTTTTTTTTGTCAACTAAATGTCAAAGTTAATATTTGTTAGTGTAGGAACAATATTACACCATTTTTAAAAGATGAAAAAGAACATTACACAAAAAATGAATGTAGGATCTAAATGCTTCTAAACCTATAGTTTAATGGCAAATTTGTCTAACACTACATCTAATAAAGAGAAAAGATGGCTTTAACTTTTTACATTCCTTTAAACTCAATTCAGTTAATCCCCCCCCAAAAAAAAAAAAAAAAACACACACACACATACACACACATACAGACACAGAAAATTCTTCCTCTCGAGGCTTAAACATAAGGATTGAAAGCTTCAGTAGCGTGAGAGAAAAGCAATTCATTTAGGATTATATTTAAGAATAAGTCATGTTTAATTCCTACTTAAGTGGATATCTTTTCCCCACCCCACAAAGATTAAGTGAATATCCAATGTTGTGTATTTTATCAAGCTGACAATTCAAGGATCACAATTTTATGTACAAGTTAGGCAATTCAGATCTTATGCAATGCAGTTAAGAAGGGAAAAGCATAAATATGAAGTTAATTATATTGTACTTTTACTAATATCATTAATTGATTGTAAATATAAAAATCAATATATTTAAGTTTTTTTTTAATTTGTTTAATATTTATATTGGGTTAAAGGACAATTTGGCCCTAAAACTATAGCATATATGTTCAAGAGTGTCTAGAACTTAAATTCATTTTTTTGTACACTGTTCTCAGTCTCACTTAACTTTTCAAGCTAATGCAATGTATTCCCTACAGTTAACAATATTTAACTTTAACTATTTGTTGACTAAAAAATAATAGTAAAGGACAAGGAAAATAATATAATCCAAAAATTATAAAAAATGACTAGGATAGAAAATTTTCCTGTTCCCTTTCTTTAATTTTTTATTTTTGGATCAACTAATAGTTGAAATTAACTTTTATAAATGTATGAGCTAACATTATATAGTTTTTAAAAGTTAAAGGGAAACATTATGTAAAAAATAATTTTAAGATTTTAGACGCTTTTGAATCTATAATTTAGAAATCAAATTGCTATTTAACCTATTTATATTTAACAATTTTGCAATTAAATATTTAAATTTTAGAATTTATAATTCCTACAATTAAATTGTTGCAATATTTTATTAAATTTTATAGACGTGAGCAAAATATTCTTGACATTAAACCATTGTATATTTACAATAATGTGAGAAATAAAAATATACATAAAAAAGGATTTACATGTCCAAAACTATAGTCGATAATTTGGATCAATCTAAACCCACCTAAAAAAGTTAGAATTGTGTTCGATTATATGAGCTTTTTAAAAAAAAAAAAATTTTAAATTTGACTTGAATGGAGCTAGGCCTTCGAAATTACTAGCAATATATATTTATATAGAGCCCGTAGATTAGGCTAAGTGTAATAAGTCAACCTAAATCCATCCAAAAAATAATTAAGACTAAATTTGATTATATATGTTTTTTTAGAACAATAAAATACTTTAATCTCAATTTATATATACTCAGCTCAGATAAATTTTACCTGTTCAAATTATCAGCAGTACCACAAATTATGGATTGACAAGAGAATAAAAGGAAAAGTAGGCTTGTTTCAGACAAAAAGATAAAGCTTTCCCAGTTTTGACAGAAAGATAGGAAAATGACTGAATCACTGAACGAAATATTTGTCACGGATTTCACTTTGCAACAGTACAAAACACGTGTGTGTATCATATTAAAAGCAAATCTTACAACCTTTACATTTTATTTATTATTATTATTATTATTTAAAAAAATCAATCTCAAGTCTCACAAAAAAATTAATTATAAAAAATTTATAAAATTATTATAAAATGAAATCTCATATTTTTAATAAAATTTTCAATTTATTATATTAAAATTATCAATTTTTATTAAATAGTTGTCAATGAAATTATTTACTTAACAACTAGACAATAATAATTATCCAATAGCAATTGACTTCAATTAAAAAAAAACGGAATTTCAAAGTAATTTTATAATTTTACAGAGTATTTAGATTGAGGAGCTCAAAGTGACTTTCTCTTTTTTTTTCCCCCAGCTACGTGATTTATAATATGTATGGGAGATTTTTCTAGTTTGTAACATTTAAATTTAAAACTTTCTTGCATGTGGCCCATAAACACTTAAAACTTAACAATTTTGTTTATTAATTTTATTAAAAAATGATTTTTTTTATAATTTTCCCCATTCAACACAACAAATTTATTGAATAAATAATCACATAAATTAAATTAGTGTGTGTGGGGGGGGGACATAAAGGGCTTTTTTCTTTCACTTTGAGTGAAAATAAATATAAAGGATTATAATAATCATATTCATGATAAAATCCAAATGTTTATTGAAGACTTTGAGTGAAAAAAGCATCTCAAATTCAATACTAACTTATAACAATTTAAAACTCCCTATAATTCTAATAAAACAAATAAAACTATTTTTTTTTTTAACATGAGCATCAAGTATCTCGAGCCTACTTTACTATATTATTCTAATCCTATTTATAAATTATTTTTTAATATATTTTATTAATATTAAAAAATTTTAAAATTTATTAACTTTATTTTAAAATTTAATAAGTTATCAATTTTATCCTATTAAATATACACAATTCAATAACATATTTTTTCTCTCCAACATTTAATAGAAATTAAAAAAATTATGATAAAAATTTAATAACGTAACTTGTAAATATAACCAAAATTTTTTTTCTTCCTCTACTTTATAAATAAAATTAAAGGGAGTATGAGTGATGAATGAGGACTTAACAAGACTCTAATTAATTTAGATCAGACAAGCATCCTTGGACACTACCGATGGCCAAATACGTTGTTATATTTTCGATTTGAAATAATTCTTCAGTTGATTCAAGCGTTTATAATTAATAATAATAATAACAAGAACAATAACAATAATAAAAAAGCTCTCAAAATTTTCGTTTTCAAAAGCTCGAACTTCACAAAAGTATTTCTAATACATTACTGTTTTTTTTTAACTCCAACTGTTTATAATAGTAACTTTTAACCCAGCTGTAATCCTAAACTTTTTCATTTATATACGCAAAAGTTCAGATGATCTGGTCTGAGAATTTACCAAATTACCAATTACCAAAAAAATAAAAAATGTGAAAAAGTTGAAATTACTAAATTACCACGAGATTGCCGCCACCGGAAGAAGGAAACGAAATGGGTTTGCCGATTCTGTAGCTTCCTCCTTCCAAATCAATGACCACTCCTCCCAGATCCTTCACTCCTCTCACCATTTCTTCTTCATCGCCTCCCTCCGTGGCAAATGCCTCTTCCAGAGCTTTCTCGAACGCCTCGCTGCTCTCTTTTTCCCCTGTCGGATCGCCGCCGTACTCCGGCGGGTACACCACTCTCGTCCTCCTACCTTTCTGCAATTTACACACTCTTACTGTTTGGATCCCGCGAAAGTCGCAGAGAAAATTCTAAACAAGCTCGAATGTTTGGAGTCGCTTGCGTACCGTTTTGGCTTCTGGCAAAGGCGCCGTAGTGGTGAGCATTTGGTGGAGCTTCCGGCGGAATTCTGAGAGCTTCGGAGATGCTTGTGTGGTGCTGAAACATATGGATTCTTGGTGTAACAGCAATAATACTGCAAAACCTACAGCTGAGAATCTCGTTAACATTTTCTGCTTTTTTTTTTTTTTTTCAAGGTTCCGACTTCCAATGGTGTTCGTTTGTCAGGATGGAGACCGTGGCAATGGCAGCTCCGCGGAGGCTCGGAGAGAGTATTATTCATTTATTCTAACTACTAAAACTATATATATATATATATATATATATATATTTTTTCCCCCCCTTACAAATAAAAATTTAGTAGTCCCTCTCAAGAGTCTTGACGACACATGTCTTTTATTTTTTTAGGTTTAAAAAAAAAGAGAGTACACGTGTCTTCTTTAAGCGGTTCGCATTAATTAAGAAATAAATATATAAAAATAGAGAAAATGGCCAAAAAAAAAAAAAAACGACGCTTTAAATATACAAATGAAATGATATTTCATAAGATGTGTTAACTTTTTAAGTGATTTTTCTGATATTAATGCCATTTTACTATGATACTTCTAATTGAAAATATAAAAAAAAATGCACAATAATCATTTTAATTTAAGTAATGATTATTTTTTTAATCAGTGACCGCTTTTCTTTTGATTTTTTTTTTGATAATTATTAAAATGGGATAAAAAATGATAATTTTCACTCAGTAAGTTTATTAAGTATTAAATTCTAAGTATTATAAATATTATTGATAACTTTAATTTATATAATAAATACTTTTCTTCTGACAATAAATAAAACATGACAAGTAATTATAGCTTCTCCTTTAAAAAAATTTTAATCATTAAAATTTAAATATTGTAAATATCAGTTATTACTTTAATTTAAGTAATGATTATTTTTATAATAACAATAACTAAAATAGGATTGCAGATAATAAGTTCTATTTCTCCTTTTATTATAAATTAGGGGCATTATAATCATTTCACAAAAGTCATTAGGGTTAGAAAAATCTGGTCAACTTCATGCTAATCAGTGTGATAAGATTTAAACTATTCAGATTTTGATTTGGATGGTCTTTATTTAAAATATTTATTGTATATTTTTATTTTATATTTATTAAAATATAAATTTATAAAATTAAAAAAAAGTTATCATTAATTTGGTCAATATTTAATCTAAACTGTATAGAATATATTTTGATAGTCAATATATAATAGTATTACAAATTTTAATATTAAATTGGATACTCCAAATTAAATCTAAACCAAGTTGAAAATAAAAAAATTATTAAAATTATTTTATAATTTTTATAATTTTTTTATTTTAATAAATATAAAAATATATATAATATTAATTTAAATCCAGACCATTTAAATCATAATTTGAATGGTTCAAATCTCATCACACTGATAAGCACTATGATGCTCATCACAAATGAACTGAAAAAATTTCAAGAGACTTAAGAGAAATTATCATATTAAGAAATTTCATTATTATTTGCATATTTCAAGAAGATTTTTATATCATTTTCACATATGATATATTTATTGTGATTTTATATATAAGTCACTCTTTAAAAAATTGTGATATTTTTATATGTCATTTAGTATAAATATGTGCATCATTAATTATTTTCTTTCAATTTTATCCTTTTCACAATTTTAGATGAATGGATTAATAAGTCAAATATATGAGAAAGAAAATATTTTTGACCATGATGCATATAATAAGAATAAAGGATTAAGGTGTAAAAATACATCAAACTCTATTGCATTGTCATCCTAAACTTTTGATTAGTACAAATTTTTTAGTTATCAACTTTCAAATTTAAAAAAAAAAAAGATCCAATAACTCATTATAACCCAAAATCAAAATAAGATTTTAGCTTAAATTATATTAAGAGCCTTTAAGTCAGAATTCGAGCTAGTTGATGTTGCCCATAGACACGTCCAAACAAGTCTATATTTGCTCATGGTTAAGTCTACACAAGCCAAGACCTCTTCATAGATACATGTTTGGACTTGCTCATAGGCAAAATAATAGCAAGCCTGGATGTTGTTCAAGGAAAAATCGAGAAGTACTTGGGCAGAGGTTATTTTGTGCCCAAGCAACAATGGATAAGGCCTCTAGTCAAAATATGAAAATATGAACCAGTTTTTAACATTGATAATGTAACATCCTAATTTTTCGCTTAGATATTTAGTTGTGAAAATGGTGGATTTATTGAGAATTTAAATTAGAGTTATTGTTGTTTTGAGGTTGAATTAAGGAATTAATTTGTGATTATGGTTATTAGAAGTTAATAAAATATTTAAACACTTAATTATGGTTTAAATTGGTAGATTAGAAAGAGATGAATATTTAGTAGGTGATCAGAAAAGTTTAAAATATTTGATAAATTAAAAAGAGCTGAATATGAGGCAGAGAAGATTAATGAAATTCTTAAAAATTATAACTTTGAATTGAAATATCATTCACGTAAAGCTAATGTGGTTGCTAATGTGTTGAGCAGAAAGACATTGCACGTGGCTCATTTGATAGTACAAAAATATAGTTTGATAGAATCATTTTTAGATTCATTGTAGGATGCACCACTGAAAGCTTTGATTAATGCATATTCTACAGTGATTAGTGATGACATCTGGAAGGAATTAAGAATGGCACGACTAGAAGATGAATATCTTTTTGGAGTCTAAGAAGAAGTAGAGACAAATTGAACCACAGATTTTAATTTTAATGATGATTGGTTTATGGTATATAGGGATAGGACTTGTGTTCTTAGTGATGATGAGATGAAGAAAATGATTTAAGCGAGGCTCATGGTAGTAAATATACAATCCATCTTGGTGCTACAAAAATGTATCAAGATATGAAGCGACATTGGTGGTGGCCATACATGAAAAGAGACATGACTTGTAAAAATCTCACTCCACTAAATATAATTAACCAATAAAGCTCATGGTAATCAAAGATTTAACTCAATAGTGATTACCAAGTTTTAGTTCAATTTCAAGGGATCTTAAGTTTTCATAATCAAAATGAGTTTATAATAATCAGAAACCCTTGTATCAGAGTAAAACAAGCTACGGAAGTATGAGATACCTCAGAAGAATGAAAGAAATTGAAAACAAGTGAAAAATAACACTTTTGTTGTGTGACAGAGCAATGCACCATGGCTCGTGCACACTGCACTATAGTGTGTTGCTCTCTATGCCACGTGCTATGGCTCAGGCGCTATGCGCTGTGGCGTGTTGCATGAAAATATCAACAATTGTGCTGTCATTTGATAGCATAATCAAATAACTTCCAACGCACCTTGATTCTTAGTCCAATGTTCGAAAGACGTGATCTAGGTGTCTACGGAAAGCTCTTAACATAAACTAGCTAATGGAATAGGTTTTACTTCCAACACAAGTCATATTAAGAAGTTGAACACCCAAATACATTTCGATGACTTTTCATAACTTTCACTCAAAAAAGGTGTCCAAAACCCTCAATAAGTGTTAATAGCCTTTTCTAACACTTGGACTATGTCCATTGGACCTAAGACTATCAGTATAACACGTCACATGCACTAAAACATAAGTATAACATAAATTCACTCCACAACCTCGTTTTACCAAAAATAGAGGGGGAGGCAAATTTCCATTGTATTGTATCAAAAATCAATATAACATGTTTAAAATATCTTTTCTACACTTTCACTAGTATTTTGGCCTTAATCACATACATATTTCATCATACACAATTACTCAGGGCCTAAAATACAAATTAGACATTTACAACAATAAAATAGTGCAACTGTGATAGCATGCAACCTAAAATTAGCATTCATGTTCTATTACATCAAATAAATAGATACAAGAGGCATACTAAAGGAATACATAAATTCCTAGGCCTTAGTAGCTTTGTCCCTCTCTGCACTAGAGTTAGAGCCTAAGACATGTTAAAGAAAAGGGGTGAGTCTAGCTACTCAGTGACCAAGGTAAAACTTACCCTATGCAGTTACAAATAAATTATAAACCAAATACATGCATATGAAACAAAGTACTTAAAATATGCTTTAACACATATTATAACCAATCATTTCTCATTTAATAACATCTTTATCTCTCATATTCTAGGTGCATTGTCACAATACTCTCTTAGATGTATGACTATGACCCATTATTCACATAACTTGCCATAACTCAACACATGTGACATATCAAATACTTACATAGGTAATGATCAACCAACCTTATACCTTCCTTATTTCCTTAGACTGAAACCGTGGGCTATGACACTAAATAGGACTTTGTTTATGTGATTGGATTACCTAAGCTCACTAATCATGAGGTGTAACCTGGCCAAAAATTACATGACTCACTCTCGAACCACAACTTTCTCCATTCTCAAATCTCTAGGGTGTCTCATACCCTAGGCTATTCTCCTCATTGAACTGGTGGATATAGCTAGGTTCTAGTTCCTCAACAAATTATAGGATGATCCCTTGACAAACTATGGGACAAACTATACTCCCGTGCATCGGAGGGCAGCCTAAATATCACATGGATTTATCTCTACTCCCAGTCCTTAGGCCAACTCTCGCCTACTGATCATGCCATAAACAATACTCACTCTTTTTCATACTTTCATTTATTCATTATCATAATAATCACATTGGGCTCATGACCATGCACTACTTAAATGAGCGTCAAGTTTCATTTCTCTTATAGCACATAAACATAGCATTTTCAATCTCAATTACTCATCTTTATCAAGACCATTATCCATTACTCATTCAAACACATTATACACGTGAAATTCACTCTAGAATATCACTTTCACATCTTGAAACACATTTGAAATCTTTTTAGCATGTTAAATGCATAATAAAGTGTGTAGAGAAATCTCTTTAGTGTGTTAAATGCATAATAAAGTGTGTAGATAAATATATAAGGTTTCATTGTATGATGTATTCATTCACAAATCAAAATTTGTATGTTTAATACACAATTCACTTTATTTTACAATTAATAAATAATTACCCAAGATAGAGTTCTCCCGGTTATCTCAAACCTTAATGCACATTGGTTTATTGCGTTTGCTATGCGTAATAAGATTTATACTTGAGTAAGTTATAATATGATTTTTGAAATTTTTTTTATCTAGGATCCTAAGGCTTTCAATGTTTTCAAAGTAAATGATTTTGATTTACTTAGCAAGATTGTAGTGGA